TTCTTAAAAGAACAACAGCTTTGTTTACTAGGTTTCACATTGTATATTCTTTTCAAAAATATGATATGTTTACGTTTTGAAGCATTGTGATAGCCTTCATCAAAAATAAAAGCTAAGCAGAATGCAAATTCCATATCTCTCAATCAGAGAGAGTTTAGTTTCTAATGTCAAGAATATATTATGGGAGACTCAGAGCCTTTTTGTGTCTTCACTGGTTTTCCGCTTTTCCTCACCTACTGAGCCAAGCAGCATGTAGTATCTAGGAAGAAGCTTGATATTTCTTAGATAATATGGTTTGGAAGATGCTGTTTGCAAGCTTATTTGCTTCTGTGTTGATTCATAAGCAGGAGAAGATAATTCATTTCTGCATATCTGCTAGACTGGACAAATCAAGGTGACAATCCGTGGTTAGCTCTGGCGGGCCCTTTGTCCTACTGCTGCTGTGAATGGAAGCACAATGGAAGCAAAGTGAATATATAACAGTCCAGCTGCCTTGTTGTGACAGCCCAGTCCCACCATTGCAGTGTGTCAGCTCATGTTTGTGTACCGGTAGCCAATCCATAAGATGACAATGCAAATTGTGTGAAAAGTCTTCTATAAGATAACAAATCATGTTGGGGGTTGAAGTATGGGGAGGAGAGTAGAAGGGGAGGTTGGACACATGTCTTAAGAAAAATAATGACCCGTAAAAGGTTATATTTTTGGTACAGTGATTACATTCAAATGCAGGACCATCATCCCAATTCTGGCATGTGTCTCAAAGACGCAGGTAGGCGCTTACACTTAAATCGATCATACCATTTCTGTGTGCAAGGTTCTGCATTAATGTTACTTTTAGGGCTGTTTATATTTCATTTACGCTTGCAATTAATCATCTTTACTGTGTTGATGCTACTGGCGTCAGCAGTGTGACTTAATTAAATTTGAAATTATAGTACAGTAAATATAGGCTTCCAACTAGCCAGTCCAAATTAAATGCTGTGGTCTATTTCTTACCCATGGTGTTTTCCAATTTAAGTGTTCATTTGAAAGGTTACATTTCTGACTGAAATCAGGTTTCCTTTTTTAAAACTTAACTGTTGCTAAACTAGAATAGCTCTCTTTCAATCCATACTTTATTCCTATCTATTATCTCTATTCTCAGTACATAAATCCAAGTAATCCATATTTATTACATTACCTTTAATATTTATCTGATTAGATGCCTATGGTTCTTTAAGGAATGTTTTTATCCCCTTAAAACATTTCCCATTTCCCTCTGATATATCAGGCTGAGCTGCTTTCAAAAGGTTTCGCCTCCATTTTGTTTCAGGCTGGTAATCAAGCAATTAGTCCACAAAATGGAGGTCCTTCGCTCTGCTCTATATACCGGCTCTTAGATAGGTGGTTTTACCCGTTTGAAAGCTCAGGCAGAACAGTTTACTGCTGATCTTGTGAAATTGGCCTCTTAAGACTGTTCGTATGATGTCAAATAAATGACTCTTAGGAAAAACCTTAGGAGTTTGAGACCTTTATGGTGTTGTCATTAGAGCATTATCCTATATGCAAAACTTGCACATCTCTAATCTTCTAACTCAATAGAGTGAACATTTAAACTAGTCAAAAATTCCAACGATAAAGTGCCTAGCTTTAAAACATTGCTAACTTCATTTCCTTAAATGTATATTATTTTGTGTATTACAGTCTTCTTCAAACAATTCATAACATGTCTAGCAAGGTATATGAGCAGAAATGCAGTCACACTCCTATCATATACACAACACGGGGTTTAAATACTAGAAAATTTGTCATCCGTAAAGTGCAGCATAGGACTTGTGTGTAAAAAGCACAAGCTCTTTTCTTTTCTTTTTTTTTTTTAATGCAGTGCTGCCTTGTCTGCACTTTTTGAAATTGCATATTTATCAGTTCATGAATTATTTATGAGATTGGAAAAGTGGAGGGGGGGGTGCAGAGAGGATGAGGAAGAAGAGCACACAAAAAATTTATGCTGAAAATACTTGGGATAGGAGATGCTTTTAATATGAATGTTAGCGGTTCTGCTCAAGGATAGCTGTATTTTGATTTTTTTTTCTGAATGTTGTGTTTAGATCTATTATTACACAATTTGGTATTTAAAGAATTGTTTGCTGTGTTGTCTATTTGATTTCTGGGGAAATTAGGAAAGGTGCAGTTTGTTTAGAATTAGGTGAAATGGGGACTAAAATGAACTGAGTATTTCAAAAAATTGTAAAGCATATTTAATAAATATTAATCTTTGTCAGCCTCTATTGTTGTCAAAAAAAAAGCTGACAGATTGAGGATTAATGAAATGTTTCATAAATTAGAAATGAAACTATCAGCAGATTGTCCAAAGAAGGAATCAAAGATTGCTCAAGCCAGAGCTTTGGGCCGGTGGAATAGCCCATTCTTAAATCCAATCTTTTTTCAGCCCATGATAAAAAAAATAAACTCATATCCACTGGCTGAGAGCATATATTTAGCTTCTTTCGTTAAAGAAGTCAATGTTTTCTACATGTAAAAACCATGTTGATACCTTTCATTTATATTTCTCAAAGACAAAACAAAAGCAAAATAAATAAGAAAAAAAAAACCCAGAAAGTTATAAAACCAAGCAACTGAATGCTCAGTTTCATTAATGAATATACACATTTTAAAAAGTAAAATAAATATATAATCTGAGATTGTAAGCCTTTAATTACCAGGGCCCTCTATCCCTCTATTGGAGTATGTGAAGGGAGGAGTTCCAGGGGGGTGGGTGTGGGACAAGAAGAGGTGGCTACATTTGGAATCATGCTGTAACTTCCTACTATATTCCACAATGTAACACAAAGACAAGCCACTAAATCCCCAAAACTAACTGTTAAAGAAAGATGAATGGGACGGCCTATAATGATCAATTATAAAAATGATATTTTTTTTCTTAATCTTCATTGAATTTCCTACTTAAAATATGTGACACAGGAAGCATGTTATCCTAAAATAAGTAATAGAGACATGTGTAGTACTAAACCTTTAAAAAAGTTATGCTAAAAAGAAAAATATGCTGAAAAGAAAAATATTTTTGGTATGTGTATTATATGACCAAACTCTCCATTTTTGATTCCTGAAATCCTGATTCAGGTATTAGCAAGTTAAAAATAAAACAAGAGCTCTTTTAATTCTTCCTCTTACTGTTCTATTCATTTGGATTTATTAACTTTTCCGCATGGCTGTTCTGAACACTCACCTGAAGTACCTTTCTTCCTATCTGCCAGAGATATATAATTTGAAAGTGGGCTAGTAGAGTGTATAAAAATGTTTAGCCTAATCACTCCCTAATGACAGCGACTTATGTCCTTAGTGCCGTCGATTTGTTTCCTGGGTTTTAAAAGTAGATTATTTCCATGGTGCAGGCTTAGTGTAAGCTGTTGAGAAACCACAAGCACTGCACTTCAGCCTGAGTTTGGGACGTTCGCCAAGGGTAATCTGATTAAAAGGGCATTTTTTACAACATGGTGCTGCTTTGAAAATTCTGTGCAGCCTGATAGAGTGGGGGCCAAAAAGAATTGCTTTTTGAAGATGAACTAGTTTTCTTAAGCAAAATTATAAGCCTGATGATTCTCTTCAACCTAACTGCAACGGATAAACAAAATGTCCTTAGTAACACATCTGTTACCTACCACAAGTAATTTCATGATCTAGTTAATGCAGTTTTTTTGCTTGTTTGTGTAGCTTTTAGTCACATGAACTTACATCACAGTTACACCACTCTTGTTCCATGGAGAAGTATAAAAACAATAAGTTTCTAGTTCTACTTTTGTTATTCTGTGACCTACATGTGTATGCATTTTGCTCCATTTTGAGAAATAGTCACTTCTGGTCTGCACTAACTAGTAGTAGTTATGGGTGCTTGAGAAGTTTAGCAGTTGTATGTTATTAAGAGGTAATTTCATATCTCAAATCTTGGGTGTCTTTTTAAAGATGGAATATAATACTAATTAAATATGTCATGTTTGCACACATCAGAATGCACTCAAAAGAACCTTTCTTGTATCTCTTATTTTATTGAAGTATTTTTGTATTCTTCCGTGGGAGCTAACTAGGCAAGTAAAGATGAATAACTAAATCTGCTCCCATTTTTCTAACATCCTCAGAGTAGGATGAATAGCAAATGTAAGTGAGAATTCATCCATTTAAATAGCATGGGGCTCTTTGCACCCAAGTGTTTGTATACACAGCCCACAGAAGAATATTTGGTTTCTGTCGTTTCTTCGAACTCACTATCCTAATGGATCTTATTGGCATTTTGTCTTCCTTGGAGAGAACTTTAACAGTTTTCTGCCTCTCCCCAACCCCCAACAAATCAAGGCTTTTCAAAATAGCTGAAACATTGTAACGTGATGCCATGACAGTTCTGCAAAGAAAAACAAAATGTATTTTAATTCCATGAACTATTGGTTCAACAAATGGGCCAAATACTGTGCAAAATGCTATCTATGAATCAGTCTCTGCCCACAGCTGTTCACACTCTATTGAGAGAGAGAGAGTAGGATGCAGAGCAGCAGGCCTTATATTCAAGCCAGAAACCAATTGCTGAGAGACTCAAGAAGAGGGAGCAGTATTCCTTCTTGAAAGAGGATTGGTATTAGTGAACTCAAGTTTTTTAAAAAGGCACTTTTTCCAAGATTGGAATGTGTATAATCCCCAAGTTTACTTTGCTACAATAAGAACTCATTTCAATGAAAAGACATAAACAATTTCGTGTGTACGGCACACATTAAGATCCCATTATTACTTGGCAAAAGCTTAGTGGTATCCTAAAACATGTTGAATTCTTTTACATTGTGTGTTTCTAAATTCTGTGGTCTACATTTCCACAGAAATAAGTCTCTGAGCATGTTGTTCTTAGTAAATATAAAAAATGGTGGCATTTCTTAAAATACACTTTCTAACTTTTGGGAATGTGGAGAGAATGTGCTGAAAACACTCAAGACAAAATAGAAACTCAGAGATACCACACATTAAATTGGGCCTTTCCCCATGAGAAACATCTATTGCATTTCTTTATTAAAGATGACAGTTTTTCTTCAGAGCCATCTTTAACTCTCTGGGAACATTGGTATAGAATGGTTTGGGAGCATGTGATGTGGTAAAGACAGTTTAATGACAAAATATGGTGTTTCCAAAGAAACCCTTTATAGTCATTAGGTCGTGTTTCAGAAGAGGAGTGCTGTCACTTCAGAGCAAAATTCCTGTCTGTGCCAATGGTGTTGTCCTTATGGATTCAGAGAGCATTTTATGGTCTTTCTTCTTCCTGAAGAATAGAAAGGGTAATTTGACGCAGGCACATTAATATGAATGGCTTGGAGTTATATGATTGAAGATTTTTTAATACTTGCACCAGTGTCAGCTTGTAGGGTACTATCAGTGCTCCAGGGGGCCAATGAGCCAAAGTACATATTTCTGTGACCAGAAAGACAAAGAGAAATTATTTTATTCTGGAGAAGTATAGGTAAAAATAAAGAGGTGTTTTTCTGCTCTCTCTGTATTAAGCATGCAATATTAGAAGCAGCCCTTTGAAAACCTTCTAGAAAAAAATTGGTTATGAGAGGCCATAACTACCTATCTACCTGTATAACTCTTTTGTAACACCAGAAATGTTTATGAACCAATTTTATCTTTTGAAGTTCGATGTTAGATTTTTTTTTTTAAATTTAGGTTTTGGATATCTCTTTAAGAGTTTTGGATTTTGTGACACTTAAAATGAGATATTCATGTCAGGAAGATGTCCTGCTGTTCCAGGAGAGGGAGGGGGACACCATTAAAAAAAATCTTGATAATCAAGGCCACCTGTGATCCTGGGCGGCTTTCTGGAGCACAAAGGCACTGAGGAAAGCTGTTCTCCGAACCAAAGCAAATTTCTGTGATCTACAAGACACTTCAGCCTCTTCCCACTAAGAAAAAAAGAAAATCATGCTACAGGAGGATCAGCTGCTCTCTGTTCCTTCCTTAAAAAAAGTCGAGGTGGTTGCTATTTAACACAAAGCCCCGTGACCTTAATGCTGTGGCTGCTTTGAAACACTGAGCTATTTAATGATGCAAATTACAAACAGAGGGAAAACATCAGAAGAATCTGTCTGGAAATTAGCTTGTTTGACTGAAAATTAGCTAGCTTAATCGAACTTGCAGGACTCAGATTTTCTCTGCAGAAGCCCGGCTTGGCGCTTTGGTCCATTTGCATTATCTCACCACTCAGTAGAAATATTGAAAATTAGAGACAGGAAAATCTATCTTCTATTTACGTAGTTGAAATAACCAAATGACCTCTTGGATTTTTAGTGAGGGCCTTAACAGTTTCCGAAGAAACATTACATTAAATACTTGTGAAAAGTCAACCCAGAATAATTAAGTTAAATTATTACCATATTTACCAGTTCCCAAATTGCTGAATTCAATTATTCTTTGATCCTAAAGAGCTAGGATGAATCATATATGTGTTGATATAGAATTTTATTGTGCTTTAGTTTGAGGACATTGTATGGTAGCAAAATGACCCAATTCATGCAGAGACAATTCTTGTAAACACTGAATCTAGTCGAAGACTTCAAAGACATACTTAAAACATAGGACTTCATTTGAGGCTTATGAATAATTCAGAAGGTCAAAAACTTGTGCCATGTAGAGGGAATGGAGTCAGATCATCAAGATCTATTTAAAACATTAGTTTTTAAATTAAGGGAAGGACTTAACAACTTTAAAAACATTTTTACTTTCTAAAAGCTATAAACAGGGTTGTGGATAATTTCTCTGTCTCATTATAGAAATATTTGTGCTTTCATATTTTTTAGATGGATGGAATGACTGTATTTGTTTGTATTTATAATACCAAAGTAGCAAAAGTACTAAACCATTTGCCAAGCAAATGTTCTGTGTTCAGCCTAGCAATCAAACAGCTCTGATAGAGAAAAACAACATATATAAGGAAATGATGACACCTAGTAGAATACATTCGTTAACTTAAAAATTAATCTGTAAGTGGTAAGAGTATAATTATAAAATAGCTTCATCTTCTAAAAATATAATAATACAAATTTTAACTTGAGAAATGTGGTAGTTCGAAATATAGTTGGAAGCAGTATGACAGAACAGATTCAGTGGAGAGAAATTTACTGCTATACTTTGAGTATCATAATAAAATAATATTGATGGCTTTAGGCAGAATTCATCAAAAGGAAATGATAAATATTTTTTATCATTTTTCTATTTTGAAAAGTAAAATATGTCGTTATTTGTTATTTATATACTTTAAATTTTAATGAAAAACTCTGGTAATGGTTTCTGAACTTCTTTTCAGAAAGCTCAGAGTTCATAAATATGTCTAATTTAGTTATTGGGGACACATGGTAATTTCTAGCTTTTACAAGAAGGGTAACATATCTTTGCAACTGTTTTACAACGACTGAAAGGTTGATATGAAAACTTGGTCTTTGTTAATTTTTTACATAGAATGTTTTTTTAGTATGAAATTGCCAACAGTCTTTTACAGAATACCAGTATCTATAGACCAAATGGCCCAAATATTTAATTGTGCTATTCTAGTCCTTCATAACTAGAGCAATGACAGTTCTATTTTTAAGCAATTTTTGCAAACTAAATGATAGATATCTTGGTTAGTATTCTGACAAGTGTTGAATGTAATTCATTGGCTATCACTGAATGCTCATGAAATAATATTTTATAAATTAATGTACAAATCTCATTTGCAAAAATAAAATGATGCTATCGATATCAGCAGTCTCTATTTAAACAACACTTAATATTTGAGTCATTGTTTACCTTTGGTGTCTTGTGATGGAGATGCAAAACAGCAATTGTCCTCAAAGAAAATAGACTAAAACTGTGTTATTAAGTTTCTGGAATTCTTTGATGTTCATAATCTAATGTTTGTTGATAGCATATATCAGTGGTTCCTGGATTCATTCTGTTAGGACTGTGATAAACATCCAATACAAAAAATCATTTAAAAAAGATAATTCATTATGTCACTGTGAAAATGTGTTCTAGAGATAATAAAATGTTTTCTCTGTCATTCGAGGTCAGTTTTCATAGTGCTACTCAAATTTGATGCTTGGTTCTAAACAGCTTTAATTTTATAATCTGAACAATTTTCTGAAATGTTTCACCTCTAGAAGGAAATTACCCAAGATTCCCTCTCTTCACCTCCCCCATTGCCTATCCATAGCTCTACCTCCCCAGTTTTCTGCATAGGTGAATACATTAGCACCTGGCTCATTGTTTAAACGTGTTGCTCTTTTCTAACTATTCTAATATATCAGTCTTAAGTTTTCTCATCCCTGGGGAATCCTTAGGCTGATAATACAGTGGTTATGCCAACAGAGAAACTCTAAAGCACAAAATCATTATCTTTACTGTATGAGGTATGATCAGCACTGTGAAATTCACATTGATTGTTTTACTTTTGTTATTACTCCATTTAGTTGGCCTTGATTTGTTTTCCACATTTAGTGAGGGAAGCACCTTCACCCATTACTTAAAAGTATTTAATATGCAAGATTTGCTTAGTGACTAAGCTAATTCTGAAGCCCAGCATGTTTACACAAAGAACTGGTTATAATAGGGTATATAAAAATATATATTGTTATATATGACTATATGTTACATATATGTTACATATATGACTGTTATAAAATACAATAAATATATATGATATATTTAGGAGGTATTAGTATATATATACACATGGATACATTTCTACCGTTCTAAGTGGCAAATAAATGTATTAGGTCATATCATTTGAAAAAATGTCTTCTGTGAATTAAAACTGCAAATGGTTTATGGGCAGAGTATACATTTAACAATGGGGGAAAAAATCTTTTCTTAAAAGACCATATTGGTGGTTAGCTTTTAACTTTCACTTTGATAGATTCTGAGCGAATCATCCCCAGAAGGTGGGAAGGGAAAGGGGGGTCAGGATGCCCTGCAGGCCTCACTGCTCTGTGTGAGGCAGCTGTCCTGTCTTCCTTTTTCAGGGAAGTGGTGCGGTTGAAGAGAAGCGGCTTCTCTGCAGCAGAAGCACATTCATCCTGATTCCAGACTGTGGACAGCTCCTCCGTGGAGGAATAGCTGATGACCGCATAGTTCCTCTTTCCCACCCCCATTCCCCATTGCCTTGCTCCATTCATAGCAATCTGAGCTCTGAATGTGGGCTGAGATGTCTGACATTCTGCAGCAGGAGTCTGTGGGAAGAAACAGCATTGGGTGCATGTGCAGGGTGGGAGGGCATGGGCAGACGGGAGTGAGCTGGGTGGCAGGGGACAGATGAGGTTTCTCTCTTCCCACTCCATCTCCCTGAATCTCAAGACTGAGAATAGAACCACCTATTTTTTAAAAAGCAAATTCTCTTTAAACATATTGCCTTCCTAGACCAGGTAGGGCTGTAGACTTGTATCATCAGACTCCATTCTTCATCACCTTAGGAGGGTTTCGTAGGCCAGGAGCCTTTAGCAGGGAGAAAAAAGCCACTTACCTCTTTTTCTTTTCCCTTTATAAAATTGTCATTTTTAGAAAGCTTCCACACATTTGCTTATTCTACACCACCAACAGATCATTCGTGCTTCTGGACTACTGTGGTCATTTCACAAAAGTAAATATTATTAGCAACAAGAATTGGAATTTGGAATTACTTTACTCACACTTAAAATGAATGCTTTCCTTTCTGCAAGAACAATGCAAGTTTGAGAGGCTTATATAAAATGTGTTACAGAATTAGAAAACTAAAGCATTACTCTGACCGGCATCCTCTTTATTTTAAAAACTAAGCATTTAAGTAGTAATTGGCAAAGAAAAGACTGCATATTGGACATGTTAGTCAAATAAATTGGGCATGTTAGTTAAATAAACTCTGTATATTCTAAACTTCTAACTTTTTTATCATGTGATTTCCTGAGTAATAAGTCTCACTTAGCATTTTCTCATTTTCTCAGTGTAGGCATCACTCAGACTTATTCAGTGGCAGTGAATACATGGAATGTACACTTACACCCTTCATAAAAAGATCTGATGCAAGGCACACAGCCAGAGAGAACTTCAAGGATTTGGCAAAGGCAAGGATATATCTTAACCTATCCCAAATTCTCATTTTGAACATGTAAAATTTCAGTCACTTAAAAAAATAAATTTAATTATGTGTAGTTCAGTACTTTCTTCACAGAACTGGTACTAGAAATAGTTTAAGAACAAACTGTTCTAGGTTTTATTTTTACTGGATCTGTAGGTAAGACTGCCAAAACTGTCACTTAAAAATGTTGTTTGCAACCAGATTTTGGAGTCCTCGTTTCTGGTTCAGAACTTTGAAATTAGCAGCCAAATGTTTGGATACTTGTTCAGTTGTGCAGATTAAAAAAAAAAAAAATCAGGTTGGGCCAAACCATTCCTATTTCTAAATGGAAGCAAAAAATGAAAATAAAAATTAATAAGAGAGAGGATGGGAGGGAGGGAGAAAGGCAGGAAGGAGCGGGGCAAAGCAACCTAATGGGAAAAGTTATAAACACTGTACTTTGACCTACTTTGGAAACTTTTCCTTTCTACCAAATTATATTTGCAAAGACAAAGTCAGCTTCCTCTCAGAGTAGCATGATTGTTCTTTCATGACACCTTAGTAATCCAGAAAGAAAAGATCTCTGGGGTCACCTTGACATTTCCTTCCACTGCAGGCTGAGTCCAGGCTCTGCCGGCTTGTGCCATGTGATGCATTACAGCAGGTTCAGATGTTAATGTAGTATCCATGATTAGAAGGGGAAAACACTGCTTTTACAAACTAGGTTTTGTTGCTGCCATTTCTGCATTATTCAGGCACAGGCACTAGGTCTATCTTCCCCTTATTCTCAGTGCCCTCCCTCTCCAAACAAAAGAAACGATACTCTAAACATTTTTTGTTCTTCTCTGGGTTGGTCTGGTTGAGCAAAGATCATCATGCTCTGATTTAGTGTTTTCAAATAAGTGTGCCCTCTGCTGCAGCACTCTATTGAGAGACAACACAGCCCAAGCGGGAGAGTTCAGCATGGCCACTAATAAAACACAAGTGAGGCTTTGTCAGGCCACGAGTGATTACTTGAACAAGTGCCAACGAAGAAACCAAACATTAGAGCTCAGCGCTTCAGACCCTCAAGACAAAGGGCCAATTGACTTTCCTCATTAGTTTTTGTGCCAAACATGTAAACACAGTTTCCTCTCTATCTTTGATACTCAAAACATGCCAGCTTGTTAACATCCTGGGTGGTACTGTGGTTTATGAGGCTATAAAGACTTTTATGTTGGGTTGGGTATTTTCTTTCTCCTCTTATTGCAAAAGATAGGCTTATCCTTTTTTTTTTTTTTATGAAAGGGGAGTCCTTAGGGCATTTTTCACTTACTAATAGGCCCCCTGATGCAAAGAAAAAATTCAAAAGTGTAAAACAGTGACAGAGAGGAAAGAGAGAAGAAAGAAGGAAGGAAGGAAGGAAGGAAAGAAGGAAAGAAAGAAAGAAAGAAAGAAAGAAAGAAAGAAAGAAAGAAAGAAAGAAAAGAAAGAGAAAGAAAGAAAGAAAGAAAGAAAAAGAAAGAAAGAAAGAAAGAAAGAAAGAAAGAAAGAAAGAAAGAAAGAAAGAAAGAAAGAGAGAGAGAGAGAAAGAAGGAAGGGAGGAAGGAAGGAAGGAAGGAAGGAAGGAAAGAGGGAAGGAGGAAGGAGAAAGAAGGAAAGAGATAAAGAATATACATGAAAAGGAAAAAACATACAGCTCTGATCCTCACTCATTTCAGATGAATATGTAGTGTAAAATGTCTGTTACAATCGTTTCTAAAGAAAGACCTGTAAATAAGTAATTGTGAGAATAACACTAGTGTATAAATGACTGATGCAAAAGAACCGGTATTGGTAGAAGAGTCACATTGGAGTTCCATCTTGGGGCGACTGACATTATGCCTTCTACCACTCTCTCTTGCAGTTAGAGTCTTAGATCAGTTTCTCAGTGGATTTCAGCTACTCCCTTTATTTCCTCTCTCTTCCTGTTCTCTGTCCCTTTTGGTTTTTCTTTTATATCTGTCCTTACCAATGCTTCATGCCCTCTTCCCTTCACTCCTGAGTTCTCAGTCCTGATGAGGTAGGTGTCTAAAAATGAGTTGTCATTTTCTTGGTTGCACAGAAACCCTTGGCCCAAATTTGTTTCCATAACTAGGCTAAGAGGAGAAAAGGAGTGTTGGCTCAGTGGTTATGTAGTCATAATTGGGAATCCTGGCTCCATGAATCAGCTGTATTGACTTCATTCTGAATTATTTTCACCTATGGAATCAGCCAACATGAAATGTAATCATGTGTAAAAATGTGGAGGGAATATTAGTTATTATAGACTCTATGGTTGACTAATCATATCTATCAATATTAAAATGCATGTATCTTGTGTTTCAGCAACTCCATTTCTAGGGATTTTTACACAGATATACTCACATAAACATATAAAGGCTGGTTTTTAAAAAATACTGTAGCATTGTTTGTAATAACAAAATATTAGAGGAAAAAAACCCTAAATGACCTTCAGTAGAGGACTGGTTATATAAGTCATGGTACATCCATACAATGGAAAATGATACATCTGTCAAAAACAATATTGCTGTTTTGTATGCATTGAAATAAAATCATCCTCAATTTATTTTTCTATATGAAAAAGCAAGGTGTAGAACAATGTATCTAATAAGCTAACATTTGCTTAAAAATATATCTATCTCTATATATAATATATATAAACACACATCTGCATCAATATGTGAATATATTTATAGAGTATCCCTGGAAAAATACAGATAATTGATAAGAGAGGTTGCCCCAGGGTAGGGGAACTAGACATTCAGGGTCAGATCAGAGATGGAGACTTATATCTCACTGTATCATTTTTTTGTACTTCTGAATGTCTTATGACAATGTATTCCTTAGCCTAATAAAATAAAATGATTATTGTTAAAGCATGCCATAGAAGTAACACAAACATTCACTATTAGCTATTAATGGCATAATATGAGTTATTTTGCCCTTAATAAAAACTAGCTAGTATAAATCCCTATGAGCCTGGCATTGAATATTTATATATTTTATCATGGAAGAAGGAGGGCTTTGGGACCAAAAAAACCAAAATTCTAACAAGAGAGAACAAATCTTGAGGGCACAGCAAAGGGCATACCTGAAGGCAGTATGAGGACTCTGGGGCTCTGATAAATTAGATACTAAGACAATGACCAAGGGAGGGAGGGAGAATCCCTGAAGACAGAGATGAAATCTCTGAAGCCAAAATAAATTCAAAGACAGTTTAATATGGTGCTATTCTGGGCCAGGAAATCTTTAAAAATATTTAAATGTTCTATGAGGTAAAAGGGGTGATAGGAGCATCTCTAAGCTTTACAGTAAGTTTAGCATCACGGAAGGTGCATTAGCTCTTTTGGCCACTAGGGTATCATTTAGAATAGTGTTCTATCATTGCAGCCAATGGCCTAGAAACAAATTATTTCAAAGTAATGACATCCCAGCGGCCTGGAAGAGTTAATGTGCCTCCTAAGTGACTCACTTACCATTAGGGAGTTATTTACCCTCTGGGGAAGATAGAATTTGTTCTCACAAAAGCAGAGTAGTTTCCTGGATAACATGGAGAAGTAGACACAGTAGAGCCTTGCTCTATTTTGAGTCATTTGCAGATTTGTTCTGCTATCTTGGTCAACCACTTTACATCTCTTTGTTCTAGCATAGCTGTGAATTAGGGCCACTGTCCTTTAGTTAACTCAAGTCTCAGGTATGATATATGGATTTCTAAAATAGTACCACCAAAGGACTTGGAGGAGATCACACTTTAATATAGGGATGGCAACCTATTATAGAGCCCAAAGCCATGTACTGTGTACTGAAAGTCACATGATCACATTTTAGTCCTCAGAGTACTATTAACTAGTTGACCCCAGATAAGTTTCTTAATTTCTCTAGGCCTAGGTGTACTTATTTGTGAAATGAGAAGATAAGACTTGATGATCTCTAACACATGTTCCAACTCTAACACTCATAGATTGTAGTCAAATACCTGAGAAATGGTCAAATGAGAAAGTTTAAAACATCCACAATGAAATCTTACTATTTTTGTTTTATCCCAAGCTCCACTATGATTACTTGAGCAATAACATATACTAAGAATGTAAAATTTAGAGAATGTGTTTTGGAGTAAGAAGACAAATATAAAAGAAAAAAAAAAAGATCGTTTGACATTTTTTTCTCTCTTTTGAAAAATGGAGCATATACTCATGAAAAAAGCAAAAGAAAAGTTAGAGGGAAAACATATTCAACAGCACAAATGCTATAAATAATCCATAGCCATATTAAAAAACATACAAAAATCACATGCAGTTAAACCAGGAAGACTTCTAGAAGATGTAAAAAAGGGGAAAATTTATGTTAGCAGAGTAAAATAAAAGAAGATATTATAGTGGAGGAATAATTAAGGTGCAACAGCAAGAATTAAAGAAATATACATAATATTAACTGAATAGTAGGCAAATTGGCAATATTATAGTAAAAATTTTGCCTATAAATTAAGATATTAGAATGAGGAAGTTAAAATGTTATATATGCAAAATGTGATTCATAAAAAAGCTTACCCATGATTATTGAGAGAAAACTTGTATGAAAATATGAACAATTTAAGCTTCATAAATGTTTAGAACAGAATCATGACATCATGGAAACACAGTTTGAGGAAACTTACTCCAAAATAAAATTGTCAAGGCTGAAAATAAATATAGGGAGATCGTTAAACATAAATACATATTGATTGCTATGATTAATAATATTCTAAGATGTCACATTGCTTTTTCTTCTGCCTATCTGGAATATATTTAAAAATAAGAACCCACAAAGTATTTTCGATGAAACTAAAAGAGGAGAAATTTTATTGTTCCAAATACTCCACAACTTTATAGATTTTAGAATCTAGCCAATCACTAAGTAAGTTAATGATAAGCATTAAAATATTTAGGAATAGAGTTTAGAGGAATTCATTCACCATTTTCTCCTCTAATTAAGGATTAGATTGGATTGTTAAAAAAATCATAACATTTTATTGTGTGTGTTACATTTTATGTATTGGGATGAACACCTTTGAAGACATTATTGTCAGATGAGTGTTTGTCTGAAACATTTGTTTCAGCTTCTTAGTAAGCCTATTACAGATGGAAAAAATACAAGTAACTTTGAAAATATATCTAAATAACAAAATTTCTTATTCAATATCTTGTTAGTAGCAGACTTCGCAGAACACCACAGTGCAGACAGCTCAGACACAATGCTGTAATTCATAATAGTCCTCTTGCTTTAAAATAATTATTCTATATAAATCGGAATCTTGGGATTTAAATATTGCAACTCAAGTTTGTTGTATAGTTGAATGGATTAAATATATACTAATGCACACACTAACACACAGAGTAGTACAAGTTAGTGAACAAGTGATCTCTGGGGAAGCAAAACAGATGTTACAACACTTGTACATAAAGCATATGGATTTTACTCATATTTTGCCCTACAGGCCTTTGCTCAGATTCTGCTTATTTTGATGACATACATTATAATAATTAGTCTGTCGATATTGATGTATTTCTGTCAACTCCCCAGAATGGTTAGAGTAAAAGTTATCAGGAGAAAGTACCTGCTATTGGCAGACACACTCCTGACAGAGATTCTTGAAGGCTGTCACACAGAACAGAGGAAAAGACTATAAAACTACAGAAGTACAGACACAAGAACTTGAATGGACGCATGCTAGAACCAAAGAGTGAAGGAGTAAACATATCTGTAGAATTCACCAGCACTTTGGGACATGATAACATGAACCGTGATGGTTGTGTACAGCAATTGATAGAAATAATAACAAGCCTAAATCACAAAGAGCAAAACGAATTATGTAAAGTACACGTTAATGACTAACAAATAGTTGAAACCAAAAGAATGCTGCACTTAAAGGGGTAAAATTCAGTTATCCAGAAAATTCAGCTGTAGGGAAAAGCTTATTCTCTTAGGTTATCAAGACATTTTTCATTTTCTTTCAGAAAGATTGTTCTTTGAAAGCATCATTTGTGATATATGAACAAAAGCTCTGCGGCTTGAGCTTGGATCTTAGTTTTACTATGTAATGCATGACAAGTTTATGTATTTAGTTTCAGACTTTCTCAGATGTAAATGGTAAGAGTAATAACAACAGTTAACTAATGATGATTTTTTAAAATCACATTTATGTTGCAGCCTCTGGGCTAAGGCTTTTATACATCAATACTCACAACCACTCTATGAAGTAGGAATCTATTAATATCACTCACAGATTATAAGTGATGAAGCTGAAGAAATAGAAAGAGAGAGATCTTGTAGCTTGTCTAAAGTCACACAGATATACAGTTGTAGAGCCAGGACTCAAATCCAGGGATTCTGGCACCAATGTTTTTGCTTTTAATTACTAGTCTAATATGTAAATAAGAAATACTTATAAAAATAAAAATCCTGAGCATAAATTAGTTTCTGATTAGCTTCTGCAGACCTTCCATTCTCTTTCCACAGAAACTACCAAAACAGAGAAAAATAATTTTCTTTTTCTACTAACTGATCATATATTGATGTTAGTGGCTGTCTCTCTGCTATGTCTTACAAAGCTATGCTATGGCTCTGAGTTGATTACTTGTACCACGCAACATGGATTCATCTTGTGATTGCCATGTGCAAGGCACCCAAGATGTAGAGATGTCTTATATGCTCTGGCCTTTCAATTGCATGTAGACTGGGGATTGTACAGCACTATTCAGAACTATTCAGTGTCCCAGTCAACACTCTGCCTTCATAGATAGAAAAGGAATTTTATCCATAGACTTTTGTATGTGTATATGTGTGTGTATGTGTGTGTGTGTTTCTGATAGAATGAATACCCATTAACATGAACATACAGCTTCAGATCTCATTTTGACCATGACTTTCAAATATGTTCCAGACTTTTTGCTCTATAGATGAACCACATATGAGCTGTGAGGGTGCATTATTGTAGAATAAGAAACTTCCCTGAAAAAAATCTTAGGGAAAAAACTCATGGAAAGACCGTTAAAATAAAAAAGACAAATACAATTAGCTTTCGGTAGTGCCTTGGAGAGTTAGGGGGTAGAATAGAATACAGAGAGGAGAGTTATCAATAATCTGATTCTGGAAATTGGTATAATTCACTTAGTGTAGTTTTCCTAGAGTTCTTGATGGTTTCTCACGTTTTCTTTATGAGAAAGCATTTCTTAGGATCATATACCCAAGTGATTGTGAAAGAAACAAACAAAAACAAAGATATAACATTGAGAATCATATGTAAAAATCTGTCTCCTAAAATAAAAGCTATCTGTTTTAAATATATTTATATCTCATATACATGAATATATATGCATATATATTCAAAAATAAATATATACATATATGATTATAAAAGAAATTTGAACATTTGACATAACATTTGGAAAGGAAAGGAGAGAGAAAAGAAGAATGAGTCACTTCTAATTTTAGCATCCTAATGAACAAACCTTAGCAATATGTATATATTTTCTTGTAAGCTTTATTCTAAATATATATGTTTTACAAAGTTACAGGCATACTATACATACAATTTTGTGTCCTGCTCTATTAATAGTTTTTATACATTTTAACTATTTCATACTTAAAAATATATTTTAACCTTTGTATAATATAGTTTGTAATATATTTTAACCTTTGTATAATATAGTTTGTTTTGTTTATTCATTTATTCCTTTTTAAAAATTGAGTGACAAAAACATGGTACTATACTAAGAATGTGAAAATGAATAAAACATGGTTCTTGACCTCAAATACTTTATAGATTTTTTGGGGAAGAAAATAGGTATATACCAAGAAAGTACAATAGAATTTTATAGATACTGTCCTGGTCTGGGCTGCTAAAACAAAAATATCATAGACTATGTGGCTTATAAACAACAGAAAATTACTTTTCCCAGTCCAAGAGGCTGAAAGTCCAAAATCATGGTGCCAGCACGATCCAATTCTGTTGAAGGCCCTCTATGGAGATGAGGACTGCTATCTCCTTGTTGTGTGCTCACATGGTATAAAGAAGGTTACCTATGTTTCTTGAGTACCTATGATAAGGACTCTAAATCCATTACTGAGTGCTTACCTTTATGACCCAATTACCTTCTAGAGCCCTCACATTCTAATACCATCGCACTGGGGCTAGGATTTTAACATTAGTCTTTGCAGGGCACCCAAACATTTAGTCCATACCAGGTGCTTGGTAGATTTATGTAGGGAGTAGTTTGGAAAGCCAAAAAAGGAAATGGTCAATCCCCTTTTGGGGAAAGGGTCCTAAAATGCTTCATGAAGAAAAAATTATTTTGAAGCATGGCTACAAGTTCTTGAGGTTGAAATGCTGGAGGAAGCAAGAGAAGTTGAAATTTCAGGCAAACGGAAAGCAGAGACAAGCAGACTGGGCACATGGGATGTGCAAGGCACTGCAAACAGCTCCTTCTCACAGAAGCTCCTGGCATGAGAGAGGTATAGACTGTATATCATCAGAAGCATAAAAAAGAGGTCTTACAAAAATCATGGGAAGAATCAAAGCTAGCAAAATTTCCTTTGTATTTGAATTAGATTGCCCTGGTACAATAGTGATATGTGGTCAAAAAGAGGCACAACTAATGTTACATATGTTTTCTAAATATTTGTGACAAAATTGGATCCATATTGTATAATGATCTTTAATCCTATTGATTTAACTACTTATTTTCTGGCACCAATTCATGGTTTTGAAGATATTAATACATGGCAGGGAAAGTCAGCCCCGAAAATACCTTATTTACTTTATCGCTCCAGAAATATGTAAACTATATATCCCATTTAAAAGTCTCTGAGTGGCCAATTTATCTTTTATTAAGAAATTATTTTTTTACATAAGAATAAAGCATGTATACCATAAAACGATGAAAATCCACAGGGTATAAGTGGAAAGTAAAGCTTCAGTTCCTACACCTCCAAAGTTCCTGCTACAGTCCCCATCCTCACTCTGTCATTTTAGTGTATTTAGTTTCTCTGGTGGCCACCAGCAACATTCTAAATAATATTATTTCAACTCTGTGTATTACTTTTTCCATTTTAAAGCATATCTACTCTTTCAATACACTGAAACCACCCTCACAATTCATTAGTTACATAGTTTTTTCTAAATCATTTTATTTATGATGCTGCATAATATGTTTAAATCTTTCTGTTTCTTAAGCCAAAGTTATTAAATAAATATTACTCTTCATAGAACAAAGCAACTGCTGGACTTATGCAGAAGAAATTTAATTCCATGTTTTATCTTTGTTGCTTGAAAAATAATGTGTTTCAAGCATTAAATTCAAGTGTAAGCATTTTCTTACTGGCCACCAATTGTTCATTATTCCTCCACATGTTCACCTACTTTGTATTTTCATTATGATTTTATTGAACAACTTTCCCCCCCCTGGTATTTCTAAATTCCTTTTTTTCTTTTTAGTCAAAAAAACATATCTGTACCTTCTTCACCATCTCATGGAGATCTTCCAGTTTTTTCTTCATACAATATTATAAATGAAATTAATTTTTTGTTTGAAAATATTATTTGTATGAAGACTGACTTCCTACTCTAATTCAGATCAATTGATTTTCAATTCTGTTTTATAGACTGATGTTCTGGAAGTTGTTTTCACACTAAAATAGTTCCTTTTTTTTCATGGAGACCACATTTTTGGCTTTTTAATAATTTTTCATTTATATATTTTATTTTTATTGTTTTATACATGAGTTTTCAGTATGTGGCCCAGACTGGCCTCAAACTCCTAGGCTCAGGTAATCCTCCTGCCTCAGCCACCTGAGTCATTCTCTTTTTTGGATTTATTTATATTTTTTCTTTGTACTCTAACTTGTTTTGCAGGAGTACATCCTCAAGAAGTTTTTGTTTTATCTGTGCTTTTTCAGAATGAGTAGATGAAGGGAGTTGGACAGTTGGTAGATTATATAAAATCAAATTTTATATTCACAATCATTTTATTTTTCAACTTTGAAAACATTGCTTCATGGTCTTCCCTCATGTACTGGTTTCTATTTTCTTGTATATTTTAATGAGAGTGTCATGCTAACCCAATGATTACTGCTTTTCTTTTGCCTTCTGAAAACTCAAAATCTTTTGTCTTTGGTGTTCTGACATTTCACAAGGGCATGTCTAGATTCATCTCTTTTTAAAGTCATCTTATTGAATTACTGATAGATCATTTGATATTAAAGTTCAAGTCTTTCTTTGGCTCTGTGAAATATTGTCCAAAGTATTTTTCCCTGTTATTTTTCCCTGTTATTTCTTAGTGGAGAAGGTAGAAGTACACATTGTAGATACAGATTAAGTTCAAATCCCATATCCATTACTTTTATGATATAAGAATTTAGGCAGGTTACTTAACGTTTCTTTAGAATAGTTTTCTTATTTGTAAAATGGGTATGTCATATACTTAAGTCATAGGGTTTTTATGATGATTAAATAAGGGAAAATATATACAGTACCTAGAACAGTGACTTACATTTAAGCCCAGCATAGTATATAGACTGCATAGCAAATGCATAGCCTTTTATATAATTGTAAACTATAGATTCTTTCTGAAATTTCTCTTATTATTACATATTGCCACTCCAGATTGATAGTTTATCTTACATTTCTATCATATTTTCCAATTTTTGTCTTTTTAAATACTCCAACAGTGATAAAATTAGACAAGAATGCTGGATCCAATCTAAAGATTTGGGGGGCTGAACATATTTTAAAATTTTATTTAATTGCAAACAGTTAAACAGGCAATTTCCCATTAAAACATGTATTACTGACTCCTCTTGAAAACTAACAGCCTCTTTTAACCCTGAACGACTTGCAGAGCCACACAGAATGGTGAAGTTGAGTTTGAGGTCTTGTGTACTTTCCTGGGGCATGTCCACTTGCAGGTTTCATGTGTGTACAGCAAGAGCAGAATGTTTCTTGACCACGCAAATGTGGGCTTTATTTTAAAATATCGAAACTCACATTCAGTTTAGCTCTTCCTAGGCAGTGTTTTCCATTTATTTTAAAATATAGATCTTAAGTGTAAACCCTGCTACAGCCAGTTTGAATTTCAGAGGATGGGAAGAGAGACATGCTCCGCGCTTGCCTTTGGTCCTTTCCATCACCTGGAGTGCTGTCTCCTACTAGAGGTCTGTTAGTCCAGAGGCTTTTAAAATAACCTGCCCTTTCCCTTGTTTTGAAGATTTTGTTTTGTTTTAAGAGGTTCTATTATTTTTGTTGTTTGATGCTCATTCTTTTTTAAGTGGGAAGCAATCCATCCCAATGTCATGCTTATCCTGGGCCCATTGTCTGTTCATTTGAGTGCTTACTAAATCTCCTTTTCATAATGCCAGCTGGAGGGCAGGTTGATATATTCTGCTCCTAGACCAATTTCCAGCATCAGTAACCATTTGTCCTGTGGCTTCCATAACGCCAAGGTATAAATTTCTCCTATGCCTATTTCCTGGATCTCTTACTCTGATACAATAGAGTTCATGAAAAACCACCATTCCTAGAATGCCCTAGCGCCTGGACTCCTCCTGTTGCGACTCCACAGCCGGCAACTAACTGATCTAGGATGACACCTCTCAACATTCAACCCTTCTCTGCCCAATGCTCTCTGCCCTCTTATTTTGTAGGAATTACAGTCTCCAAATTGATGTGGCAAGAAAATTGCTAAAAGAGAAAGAGAACAAACAATACAATGATCTCCTCAAAAAGCAGTAGAGGGATGGTTGCTCAGGTTTCATTACTACAAAAGTGGGTGTGGAGATGTGAGAAGTAAGGGCAGGTCAGAAAAAGATAGGAGATTTTATTATCTTCCTTTAAGCTGGCAGGTTTATTTGGGGTGGTTGGGTATAAGATTTTAAATAAGTATCAACTTCTTTTCAAAAATTACATAGATATATAACTCATGGTTAATAAAAATCTCTGATCTTGTCCAGCAGTTGACTTCCAGTAGTTTTGGTCTCTATTTCCCCTTTTTTAGGTTTTGTTTGTTGCCCATATTCTAGTAAGAAGGAAGAGACTGAACTAAGTGTCCATTTTTAACACATATCTGTTGAAATCTGTTGTAAACACTGTAAGGAGTTTTGTATATAACCAATAGCTTTCTTAAGGTAATTTATGAAGTATCTGTTTCACAATGTCTACAAAGAAATAATGAATAGATTTAATTATATTAATTTAAGAGATCAAATTATTTTACTTTTTGTGGAGTTTTTTCATGTTTCCAGTTATCTTTATTTTTTGGTACATTGACTGGTCATGTCCTTTGAGCTAAAGTTTTGTGTATTTTTTATCAATTTAAATAGCCTTTTACAAAATAAAAATATCAACTTTTTCCCATCCTTCTTGCTGTATGTGTTTTTTTAAAGTCTGTTTCATAACCTTTGCCAAAGTGGAAGTTGTTCATATTTATATGTGAATTTTTCTGTACAATGTAGTGGTTTAGTACAGAGTTTGGAATCAACAGTGATGAATATGAACCCTGAACCTTGGACTAATCACTTAACCTTTCTTAATATTTTCATCTGATTTGTAAAATAGAAACAATAATATTATTTTCATCATGAGGGATGTGGATATTAAATGAGGTAATGATATGGACAGGAGACAGAGGCAGAAAAGGGCAGGGTCCTTGGCGAAGCCCCAACCTCAAGCCTGGACCCAAGGCCCAAAGTAAGAACATGCATTCCTAATTTCTTGCCCTAATGTTGCCTTTTCCAAAACCACCTTGGCCTGCCACACCCCCCATCCTGTACCCATAAAAACCCCAGACTCCATTGGCAAAGGAGCAGCAGAAAAGGAGAGAAGAGAAGAAGCATCTGAACATTGAGAGGAGAAGCAGCAGCTGGACATTGGAGACTACAGTTGGAGAGGAGTTCAGCCAGAGATAGTTGGAGAGGAATTTGGTCAGACAGCCGAACTCCAGGGAAATACCACCTTCTCGCTCCATCCCCTTCCCAATCCCCGTTCCCACTGGGAGTCACTTTTATCAGCAATAAAATCCTCCGCATTCACCACCCTCCAATTTGTTTGTGTGACCTCATTCTTCCTGGACGCTGGACAAAGACCCAGGTGTGGGCGCGAAATGCTGTTACACTGACCCTTCACTTAGCTGTTTAGTACTTTCGCTGTCCAGAGATGGCAAAGCTAAAAGACTGCACTGTAGCACACACCTTCTGGGGCTCCACGGTGTTGTGGGCAACCCTAGATGCAGCTACCACAGGCCCGCACAGAATTCTGCTTCTGCCAGTTGCCCAGAAGTATTCATCCTGATCTCTTCACCTGCTCTCCTTCATGCTCCCCCTTCCACAAGGGGTTGAGAGCTGTGAAATGAGTAAGCAAGCCATCACTTTACAAGTCCCTCCAAGGGGTCCAGGGAACTACTCCATTTCATTAAGACGTGGAAGTTCATAGGACTAAACCTGACACACAGTAAACACCAATACATATCAATCTTTGTCAATATTGTTTTTTTACTTCTTAATTTTTTGAGTTTTAGTTGTGAATAAACTTTGTAGCAGTTTTTTTGTTTGTTTTTGTTTGTTTGTTTTTGGGACAGAGTTTCGCTCTTGTTGCCCAGGCTGGAGGGCAGTGGTGCAATCTCGGTTCACTGCAACCTCTCCCTCCCCAGTTCAAGCAATTCCTCTGCCTCAGCCTCCAGAGTAGCTGGGATTACAGGTGCCCACCACCACGCCCCACTAATCTTTTGTATTTTTAGTAGAGACCGGGTTTTGCTATGTTGGCCAAGCTGGTCTCAAACTCCTGACCTCAGGTGATACACCCACTTCGGCCTCCCAAAGTGTTGAAATTATAGGCGTTAGCCACTGTGCCTGGCCTGCAGCAGTTTTATGAGTATCCTAGTGCTTCCTTTAATTTTTTCTGTGACACGATTTTTTTAATGTAACTATTTAATACATATGGGACTTATTTTGGTATACCGAATGAATTCAGGATCTTAGATATCATCCCCCTGTATTCTAAGTACTTTTAAAACACTTTATTGAATACTATTTCTTCCATATTAATATGTTAATTTCATTAGATACCCAATTCTTAAAAAACACAGTGACACCTGTGACATTAATTATTCTGAGCTGTTAAAGTGTCTATTCATACCTCAGGGTGAAAATATTTTAATTATGGTAGCTTTATAATTTGTTTGATTATTTAATGATACCAATTCCATTCAAATCCACTCACAAATACAAAGGCCTGGATTCTAGGCCTAATCTAAAGTGTCTTTTAGCTGAATGGAATGGAATAAAGAATGATTAATTCAAGAAGCCTCATTTTCAAGAATTCAAAGAGCCTCAAAATTCAAGAAGAAAGGAAAAGCAGCGAATAGAAAAGAAAAGAAAAGAAAAGAAAAGAAAAAAAGATAGGCTATTCAACTTTTTCATCAACCTATAGGGTTAGATGGAGGAAAGCAGGAACATAGGTAAGAAAGAGAGAGAAGCCATGAGGCTAAGAATTAGAGATTTATCCAGGATGAATTACAAGAGCAAAGAGAACAGCATAGGCTACTTTTTGTAGCTCTTAAAATAGGAGAATGGAAAGTAGTTAAAAATGTCAACAAGATCTGACATTAACTTTCGACCATGTTGCCTTTTTTTAAGTTTATTTTTCCTTATACTTGTTCATTTTTCCAATTGAATATAATCATCCCAGCTTTGCCACTTATTAGCTTAATTGATTTCTCAGTCACTTAACCTCTCTAACTCTCTTCTCATTTGCAAAACAGGGGTAGTAAAGTCTGCCTGTAGGGAACCTTAGGTATGAAAACACAAAACCTGGCCTGTGGTTATTAAAAGAAAAACAAGCAACTTTCAACATGGTAGTTCACCTTTTCACTTTTATTATTTACTTTTTGTAACTATATAGATAAATGAGCCTGGATCTGAAATCAAATGATATGAATAACATGATTAGTGGAAAGTGGATAAATAGGAATGCTTTTTCTCTCTAAATCCTTTATCTCTGAGATTGTAATTTCCTGTTATCTCCTATGCCCATTGTTATTGCCAATCTACATTGCAGGTAGCAGTGGCCAAATTCAGACCCACTCTACTGCTAGTCATTGGTAACTCTTCATTGCTTGCTAGCACTTGGAATACTCTTCCAAGCCCTCTTGCAAGGGCTAGCAAGAAATGTTACACATGCTTGGATTTGCTAATGAATAATTGACTTGGAGCCTTTTTGGTAAAGATCTTTCAGGAATGCCAAAACAGTAAAACTGAGCCAAAGAAACAATTAAAGTTGCCTGAGTCAGCAATCCTAGATCCTAGTCACTCCATCCTCAGGGAATTCACTTTTGAGTTCCCTCTCTTGGCTTTTTTCTATGGGTCAGAGGCCAGGCTACCCACTTCCCCTCAGTGTGGCGAGAAGAGGCACACTCTGAGAACCTAGCTAGTCTAATGGTTATGGCATCCTACTTTTAACAGCATCATTTTCTTTTAAAATAACCAAAGAGTAATCTTAACTTTGCTTTCCACAAAGCTATAAGAAGAAAAACCTGCCTGCATAATTTATAGGGGAAGGAATAGATCAATGGGCCTGTGAACAGCTGCATGACACCACAGTGTTAGTGTGATGAGACACTGTATGTGCAGTGCTGGTTAGTCTTATTGATGATGATGGCATGTAGTTACTGAATATAACTTGGAAGGCAAAATTTTATTGAAATCTACTATATTGGTCACAGTGAATGAACACTAAACTTTTGGTGAGTCCTGGCCAGTGGGAAAATTGATCTGCAAAGCACAGGTTTGGCTACAGAGTTCATTATTATAACTTCTGGGTCTACTTCTGATCATGTTCTTTTCAGTGAAATTACAAGTGCTTTGATAGAGGATACATGCCAAATCTCCTCTCTTCTCTGTTTAGAAAACAATGCTGCAAAGCATATTTTATAAATAGATTAAAATGATTACCAATATGCAACAAATGCTGCTCTTCATGTGTTCACAATTTTTTCTAATACAGGCTTAGTTAGAACTGTGCCAGATCAACACACCAAATGTTTTCCCAACTGCTGACAGGAATAATGCTGTTTCATTCTGGATGACTTAGTGTGGAGTTCTAGGCCTAACTTCACCTTTTAAAGTAATATTTCAGGGGCCCTGTGATTATATTTTCTGATCCAAGAGCCATTGAATATGAGCTGGTGAAAATTTGTATAAATTAGAAAATAAAATGATAATGTTTCATTGATGTGGACTGACCAAAACTTTATTGCCATTTTTGCTTTTGTCTAAGCTTTCCCATGTGTAATGTGAAGAATATAATGCTATTCATAAGTTCAATGAAGTGTTTAACAGATTAGCTAGTTTATTATTGGTGATAAATGAGGAATAATTGTATAATCTTGAAAAAAATGACATTAAGCAAACATGGGGAATATATAATCAAAATGCCCTAAACAAGTTCACAAAGAATACTGAAAATCTATTGATGTAATTGTTGATTAAACTGATGATGTTGTTAAAGTATGTTCATGCACACTGAGGACTGAATCATTGAGCCATGGTGTGAGATGTATGCATTTTTTTTGGCAGTAAGTTTTATATCATCAAACACTGACATTTTGTTGAAAGCCTACTTTTTTTCTATGAAGGGTGCACTGTAAACTGATGTCCTTATATAGAAAAGGCTGCTTTTCAAACTATTGAGCTCTAATAGAAAAAGCATCCAGGTATGTTGTTTATGGAATTTTTTAAAGATTGTATAGTTTTAAAAATACATGTGCACTTTTGGCTACAAGATACTTCCTTATAACGCCTTTATGAAAAATTATTTGAAATCAAACACTGTAATATTTATTGAGTACCTACTATATGACACTCAGTGTGTTACATGCTTTTACTTATCTGATTTGATCTGAATGAACAATAGGAAATGTTTACAAGTAAAAAGATATGGACGAATGTGTCTAATTGTGTCTTTTCAAGATGCAATGGGGCAGTAATATATGTGAGTTCTGAACTAATCAATCACTTTAGAACACAAGGCGAATTTTGATTAGTCCCATGCTCAGAGACCTCTTTCAAATTTTGCAAGCTTTACTATATCCTGGAATTCCAAATATCATGCTGTTTTTCCTACCTTTGTTCTTCTGCACTGATAGTTTTTAAAATGAAAGCCTTAATCTGTATTATATAGGATCACTAATTTCTGCATTTTACACTTGAGCAACAGCACTCTGATTATCTGCTGCAATGAAAAGTAAGCAGCCCTGCTTTTGCAGACTTAATTACCTACTGCAGGGCCTTTCTTCTCCGGTTACCACAAACAGTCTGAAAATGGGGTCAAAAGCATGATTAGAAACCAAATTAGCCACTGAATCCAGAAAACAAACACGGAAACAGATCCAATAAGTCATTCTGATACTGAAATCAGTCTCTATCACACCTGGGTTTATCCAGAGTGTCTCTTAATTCCATGTTCCCTACAAGAACAAAGCCACAGAGGAAAGACTCTCTAATGATTTGTATATCTGAAAAAATAAAATCAACTTACTAATAGAAGTAAGGTATCAGTGTTATGGGGGTGGGGGTCAGAATCAGTCTAGATAACAGTAACAGGGTCTTTTAAATAATTGACTTGTAGGTTATATACTTGCAAGAAAAAATGCTCTCATAGTTTTTAAAAATAAATCTTCAGATTTTAGCTTAAAATGGCAGAAAATAGGTAAGTTGCTGGTTTATAAACAAGGTTTATAATAATTAAAATATTAGTATTAGTCTTGTTTTTTTACATAGCTGTTCTTTATTTGAGAATTTCATTATATACCATTTTATGGATGCTTTCTAAATCCCTGTCAGTTAATATGACAAATTTCATGCATTTAGTATTTTTTCTTAATCACACACAGGTTCTGGGCACAACACTGAAGTGTCAAGAGAATTTGAAGGCATTTTCTAGCTACATGTAAAAGAAGGTATCACATGGATTAAGTCTTCCTTTTCAGGAACTTCAGTAAACAGTAATAGAATTTTATACCAGAAATGAAATGCTGATCGA